GGTCACCCTAACTGAGCTGTCCTTCAGCCAAGCCTGTAGCTTCCGACCTGTGGTGGAGATGCCGGCTGGCAGTGTCCACCAAGGCCTCCTGGGGATCTTGGGGAGACCCACGCCCACCATGCTCAGGAGGACAGCCCTTTCTGCCAGCCCCACAGAAGCAGTCATAGAGCTGACAAGTACCTGTGGGACACCAGCAAGGGCACAGCGGTACGGACAGAAAGTACCCCACCCATTCTTAACGTGGCTCTCACCAGAATCAAAGGACTTGCTCCAGGAGGCAGCATGTACAAAGCGTGTGCGCATGCACGTGTATTTATGAGCGTGCACGTGTGTGCACCTCCTGGATAAATTGGTCTGGCCTACTCACCTTTGATATTTAAAATTTCCTCTGATCCTTCATTATCCAGGGCAGAAAAAACAAACACCAGGCTGCTTCCCTCCCTCCGGAGCTCTTAGAAAGCCAGTGTGAGGCTGAGGGAGTCGGCAGATTAGACACAATTTGCTGCTTACAATCAAAGCCCTAATTAGTTGATTGCATAAGAGATGAGCGAATATTCTGATCACAGTATTTTTTATTAGCAATGCAGAGCTGAGGTCTGAATAAAATTGATAAAGCAGGCGTGTCATTCTACACACCTGGATGCTTTTAGATTTTATGGGGAGAGGCTTGTTAAGGCCGATCACCAGCAATAGCAGTACTGCTATCACCATCACCACTACCTCCATCACTATCACCACTGTCATCACTACAACCATCACCACCATCACCACTACCACCATCACCGCCACCACTGCCACCATTACCGCCATCTCCACCACCACCACTGCCACCATCATCCCTATTATCACCACTATCACCACCCTCTCTGCCACCATCATCACTCCCACATCTATCACCACCACCAATGCCACCATTACAACCACCACCAGCATCACCACTACTACCACCCCTGCCACCACCACCACCACCACCATCTCCATCATGATCACTACCACCAGTGCCATGATTAATTACCACCAGCATCATCACCACCACTAACACAACCACCGCCATCACCACTACCACCATCATCTTTACCATAGTCAACATCACCATTACCTCCACCACCATCATCAATACCTTCACCACCACCATGATAGTCACTATTTTCTGAGGATACATTATGTACCAAGCATAGCATATGCTTGCCTATTTGTGGCCTCTTAGGACTCCTGAGACTTAGGGAAGTACCTCCTCATCACAGATGACAAAACATAGAACCAAGATGGTGAGTTATCCACAATAGCAAAGTTGGGTAACAGTTTAGATGTAGTGGCCTCAGACCACTTGGCTCCTTGTATCACTGAGACTGCTACTTACCTTCATGAAGCCTGCCCTGATTATTGGCACTTTTGTCCCATTCCTGGAACAGACCTCAGTGTGTCCTACATAACCCCCAGTTCCACTTACCAGGCCAGAGTGGTCTCTGTCACCTGCACCTGAGCCTGATGCAACCACACACACAGCAAAGGGGACATGGACACAGGCTGCTCAGTACGGTGGTGGCAATGGGGAACAGAACACTGGATGAGTACACTGTGCAAGGTGTGCCAGACAGCGGCCGGGATGCTCCCTGCTCTGGGCAGTCTTTCACACACACGTGCACAATGCACGAAGCAGTGTCTCTTGGAACTGCCTTGAAATGCGGCTTGGATCAACCTCCTTTACACATCAGTAGGATGTGCCAACACGTTGGAGGTGGCTGTGGGAGGAAAAGAAAGACCACTCCAGAATCCCAGGAGGTCGAGAAACTCAGGAGGATGGATCCTAGACACTGACATTCTGGATGAACATGGTGGCCATGGGGCTTACAAGCACAGCATAGCCCTTGGATCAGGCAGCTAAAAAACCCAAGGGTCCCCTCTTTTATGTCTCTACAGGCTGCAGAACAGGGACATCCAGGCTACAGCTGGTTGCCTGTGATGACCCCAGGTCTCCAGGAAAGGGACAGCTCTCTGCACACATGCAGAGGCTCCCCAGCCTGTTGGATGGAAGGCCCCCAACTCTGGGAGAGGCACAGGGGCTTCCTATTCCAAGACAGGGAAAACTGCTACCCACAGGCCATGGTCGCTCACTGGCTGTCTTGCACACTCTCACTGATGCACTGACTAGGGTTGCCTCCACCTACGAACAGAGCTGAATAGCTCTGACAGGGCCCACCTGGCTCTCAAAGTCCAAAATGTTTGCTAGGTGGACCTTTACAGAAAATAAGCAGCTAATCTCTACCCTGAGGCAATGGGATGAGGGGTTTCCTGAAAGCCCTGGCCAGCTGGGGACCTTCCTGGAGCCAAAGAATGAGGAGAGAGAACAGATGTGGGCCACGCAATGTGACACTGAGCCGGCCTGTCTGCAGGAAGAGCTGAGAACACGGACTGTCCACATTTTTTTAACCTTTCCTAATTAGAAAAAAATCAAACAGCACTTTCAGAAAAGACCATCTTTTCCACAATTATATCAAGTGACAGAAAACACGATTTCCTACTTTTTAATGATAAAATATGCTTGAAATATGCTGGGAAAAATTAAGGGATGTTTTCCCATCTAAGGCAGTAATTAAGAAGCAGCTGTTGGTGCAGATGTTTTTGCACCCACAGCTAAGCCTCATGATGGGGTTTTCTAAGGCAGCTGAGCAAGTCCCTGTACGCTCACGGTCATCCCCACGTCCACGTACTTGGTATGCAAATACCACTACTTGCATGTAGAACCACTCCTGTGTGCAAATTGCATGCGTGCAAATCACACGCTCTCCACAGAAGGTAAGAACATTGCAAAATATTTGTTAAAATCATTAGCAATGCCCCCCCCCCCGACCCTGTGCAGCTTCCTGTTCTCCTGTGCCACACACATGGGACAGACCAGGAACCATAGTAGTTCATGTCCCCTAAGAAGCTTGGGTAGGAGAAGGAAATGTCAGGGAGAAAACTGGTGAGGCATTATGGTCTGGTCCCATGTGTGTCCCCCTAGACATGTCTCACAAAGGACTGAGGGGGCTTAAGTTCTATCAGGGAAGCACAAGGGAAAGCTCGACTGGACTTAGGATGTCTGTCTTAGGTCTTGCAAGATGCATGGAATATTTCCAAAGCGAAGAGTCCGGGAAGGTTTTATAGCTAGAAGCAAGTGGGACTTCAGAGTGCCAGGGCTGGGAACAGATCTGGGTGTGGGCTAAGATGTTGCTCTGAGCCACAAGAGATAGGATGGGATCGAGGATTTGGAATGGGAAGAGAACGTTGGTGGCCAACAGAGAAGGGACCCTGGACTCTCTAGTAGGGCCCTTATGCTCCTCCAGGAAAAGCCCCATTACCACCTCATTCTGCTAGGCCACTAGGTATGGCAGCTCCACCTCACTATCCACAAGAGTGGGGTTTTCTTGAACTCAGAAAAAAAAAAAAATGGAAAGAAGGAGAAGAGACCTCCAGAGGTGTTGGCCTGGATTGGCCGGACCTTGAGCACCAAAGACAAAGTCTGCTTGAAGCAGTCCCTGCTACCCACCTGCATCCCTAAGCCTGGGTTTTTTCAGGTCTCCTGTGGGACAGCAGCTTGGCCACATTCCTTCCCCTCTGCTTTTCTGTCCAGTGCACCCATGGTGCAGGATGCTTCTTCCCTACCACCTAGGCTTCCCTCTCCCAGAGAGCAGACAGCCCCATGAGCCTTCAGGACCTCTCAGACATGCTTGTCACGTGCTATACCTGGCTCTCCCGGTTGGTCTGACACAGGATAGGACGTGTGTCCTCAGATCTGCCCATATCAAGGCCAAGCTCCCAAACCACACCCAGGATGGAGAGTGAGGTCTTAAACAGGAACATGCACACTCAGGTTCACAGCAGGATCACCCAGGACAGCCCAGGGGGATGCCACCCAACTGTCCCTTCATGAAAGGGTGCTGACTCAGTCAATTCTCACAGCTGAGACACAACACCTGACACTCACAACTTAAAGGAAGAAAGGCTTATTTCAGCTCACAGTTTGTAGAGGTTTCAGGCCATGGTGAGCTGAATCCAAGGCAGGGTGACATGGTATAGGGGCACGGTGAGGGGAGCTGCATGGTAGACAGGAAGCAGGAGGAGACCAAGAGAGGAGCCAGGGAAGGAGACGTACCCTTCCAGGTCAGGCCCAGTGACTAGCCTCTTCGGACACAGTCTCACCTCAAATGGCAAGTCAGCTATGAGTCCCTATAATCCAATCACCTTTCAAAAGTCCCAACTATGATCCCATGAGGATCTGAAAGGAAATCTAGACATAAACTACAGTGGACAGGCAGATGAAACAGGGTCCATCTACACAGCGCAGCAGTGCACAGCCTTACGACAGGGCGCTCCCACACACGCTACGGCACGGGGGACCTCAAGGAAACTGTGTGGCACGCAGCAAGCCAAGCACAAAGGCCACATGCTGGGCACCACTCTTAGGAGCTCCCGAGAGTCTGCACATTCACAGCAACAGGAAGCAGGATGGGGGCACAGGGTCTGGGGAAGAGATAGAGTCAGTGCTTAATGGGGACAGAACTTCAATTTGGGAGACAAGAAAGTTCTGGAGGTCGATGGAAGTGACGGCTTGACATATATAAACATGCATAAGGCCCCTGCTCTGTGCATCTAAAATGATCGTGACTCTCTGTTATGTGTATTTCACCAAAATTGAAAATAAAGCACATGGGGTCACACCATTTTTAGACTTGGGATCGGAGCAGAACTGGCACCTCAGGCGAAGGAGGATGAGAGAGCCCTGCTCCACCATGATTTCGGCAGCACCAGCAGGGACTGGGTCCAGCAAACCTGCACCTGGTCCCAGCCCTGCAGCACCCAGTGGGAGTGGGCCTCCTTCTGCTTCCCCAGAGCTGTGTCCTCTTTGACACAGGGCACAGATCCAAAAAAGGCAGCAGAGAGGGCCACCTGTGATACCCTGCCAGGCCCTCCTCATCCTGGTGCCCCAGGCCTTGGGTAGAGGGTTGCATGTCACTGACCTGGTTGTAGAGGGCGCAGATGTGCAGGGCCGTGTTCCCCGAGGCATTCTGGGCACCCATGTCCGCGCCGTAGAAGAGCAGGTGCTCCAGGTGCTGCACGTGTCCATACCTGCAGGCCTGAGACACAGATGGTGCACTGAGCAGGGTGACTACTTCCAGTCTGGCTGCGCATCCACAAAAAATACCCCGCTGTTCACGCACACCCAGCCTAACCCACACGCAGGCCAGGGTGCATACAGACCACTGCCCACCTAGCAGGACTGAGGCCCCGATACCTTGGCATACCCTGCTCCCAGTCCCTAGCCCCTGACTACTCCAGGCTGGTTCAGGGATTATGTGCTGGTTGGTTAGACAGGGCTTTTCAGAAGGATTCCCAATCTTTCTTCTCTGCAAATCCAGAGGGCCAGAGAAACACAGATCATTCTTCTGACCTCAGTGCCCAGCTCCACAAAATGCAAACCAGGGCACCTGGCCTGCCTGGTGTCCCAAGCTCTGATACAATAGTCAAGGGACACACTTGCAGCTCTCACCCTAGGCTATGTGCAGGGGAAGAGCTCTACCTGTCCTTCCACACGCAGGGGAAGAGATAGCCCTGAGACAGCTTCAAATATAACCCAGCCTCTGTGTAGGCAGCAGCACCCTGGAGCAGCGCTGCCCCACGGCGTGACCTGCCTCTTGCTGAGCCTGAGTGGCTGCTAAGCCACCCAGGATCCAGGGTTCTATGGACTGGGCTCACACCACCAGCCATCGATGCATCAGGCTCTGGCCTCCTCTGTAAGTAGAAATGATGCTGTCCTTGCGGGTTTTCATGAGAATTACATGGGACAAGGGTCCTAAAGGCCTCAGATGACCGGCACCTTACTGGGACCCAGAAAAACAGCATGGCCCCTCCGCACTCCAGCTCATAGGGGTAGGGAGTTCTCGAGCAGGTGGCCATGGTAGCTCTGTCCAACACACTGCCCCACACTCAGGGTATCGCCCGGAAGAGAGAGAAACATGCATCCTGGCCCAACCCTTCCCATGGCGGAAACCAGCAGGTTGGCCACACCAAGGGCCGCATTGTGGTGACAGCATCGGCCCCCACTGGGCACAGACCACACAGGGTCCATGTGTTTCTGATCACTGAGATAGGGGACGTTAGCATCCCCTTTGCAAGGTCTACCAAAAAGAGCCACACCTTGACAGAAAACAGGAAAGACAATAGGGAAGATACTGAGTGTTTTCATTGGATGAGCTTTAAAATTAAATTAAATAAGAAAGCCATTTACAGTTGCTGTGTCCCACTATGGGTGCTGCTAATCCTGCCCAACCCAGAGCCTAGCTCCGTACAGAGTCTGCCTTCTGGGGAAGCCTGCACCTTTAGCAGTTGGGCAGGGCGGGCTCAGCTCGCTCCTACAGATGGAGCTGACAGTCCATTATCCTGGGCACAGTTCAGGGTCCATGGGACCCATAAGGCCTGAAGCCCCCGGACAGGAACATTAGTCAGAACCACAGGGCAATTATTGACAACCTGGGAGCTGCTGGGGCCAGGTGCATAGATGGGAAGGGTAGAAAAGAGGAAATGCGCTGAGGAAGGAGGGACAAGGAGACAGACACAGGTGGAGCCAGGTAGTGCACAGGGGTTTCCTGTAGGCCACACGATCAATGAACTTTCTAGAGACATAAAGACTTGGTGGAATCCCCCAGCCCATCCCCACCCTTAAACCAGTTCAAGTTGGGAAATTTGCTTCTTAAATTGAAGAAGCCATCTGCCTAATCGGCTCTCCCTGAAGGACTCCTAGAAGCAACACTGTTACAGCTTAATTTAATTGCTCTGTAGTCAATAAAGAAGAGAACTATGTTACCATAAACACACTGAGCAATTAATCCAGGCTCATCACTCCCCTTCCCCCAGCTAATGAGGACTTATGAGGTTGCACGTTACGTCGTTGTGTGGGATCAAAGCACCGATTCCTCACCAAGGGCCAGCACGGGGTCAGTGTGAAGAGACAAGTCAGCGACAGTAACCTGAGCAGGCAGTGCGGGATGGAAGTCCCCAAGGACATCTCTTGTTTTTGGCATACTTGCTGTCTTGCAAGAAATAAAACCATAAAATGCAGGGGGTGGGGGAGAGAGACAGGGAGAGAGAGGGAGGGGGG